TTTCCTCATGATCATAACATCACCAATACCTTCAGCTGCTAGGGTGTTGGCATTTGCAAATTTTACCATATTTTTCATTGAGGGTTTTATATTGACGAACCAGTCTTTCCTTCCAGACATATGTGATGAACATCCTGAATCCAAGTACCATTGGTCCTTGAATCTATCTTCATCTCTTGTTGTGACCATTAGCATCATCTCTTCTTCTTCTTCATGTTTTGCAAGCTTTGCATCACTTTCTTGATTCTTTCGTTTTTCTGGACAATCACTTGAATAATGACCATACTTCTGACAATTGTAACATTGAATGTGACTCTTATCAGGTTTTCGACCACCACCTCTTCCTCTGTTTGCAGCACCACCTCTTTGGTTGTCGTGGTGTGGTCTTCTTTGATTCGACACGTCTCCTTCGATTTAGTTTCCTCTACCATTCGATTTGTTGTAGCCACCTCTACTTCTGTCGAAATACTTTCCTTTGCCTTTGGTTTCTTTTGCTGAATGTGCCTGCAAGGCTACATCACTCTTCGATTTTCCTGCAGCTCTTTCGTTCATTCTTTGTTCATGAGATTCGAGCGTCCCTTGAAGCTCTTCCTTTGTCAATTTCGACAAGTCTTTCCCCTCTTCGATCGCCACCACTATGTGGTCGAACTTAGGAGCTAAGGATCTCAGGATCTTCGAAACAACAGCTCGTGTTGTTAATGTTTCTCCACATGTCTTGATTTGATTCACTAGTTTTGTAACTCTAGTGAAGAAATCAGATATGTTTTCACTGTCTTCCATCTGAATCAGTTCATAGGTTCTTTTGTGAGTTTGTAACCTCACTTCTTTCACCTTCTCAGCGCCTCCAAAAGACTTCTCAAGGATCTCCCAAGCTTCTTTTGCAGATTCTGAATCACCAATCTTCTCGAAATTGTCTGGGCTGACACATTGATGAATTATAAACAATGCTTTATAACTCTGCTTCTCAGATTCTGTATATTTCTTCTTTTCTTCTTCTGAAGCGTTTTCGCCAAGCGCTTTGACTCCATCTTTTACAAGGTCCCAAAGGCCTTGACACCTTAATAGGACTTTCATCTGCTTACACCAATTCTCATAGTTGTCGACTTTCAAAATTGGCAGCGTTGCTGGATAATTTGCATTCCCATAACTTGTCATCGTGAATTCTTCAATCGTTCTTGATTGATACTTCCCTTGAATCGTAACACAAGCTCTTGATACCAGATGTTGGAAATCCACCAATACACTATGATGAATTTCGACCACCACTTGATGACTAGTTATGAAACAAACAAAGAAAAGAACAATGAAGATATTTCTGCAGAATTTCTATTCTGCCCACAAACTGTGGAAACTTTATTAATTCACTTTGCAACTGCAAAATACTGTGAATAAGTTAATTACAAAAATAAGGGTTACTCCCTCTATTTATAGATTTAGGTTAGCTTTCTCCCTAAGTTAAACCCAAGCCCAAAATATCTCTTTACTAAATCAAATCTAATCTAGATTTAAATTCAAATCTATTTAAATCTAAACAAATCAAATCTTCTTTTGACACATATGAATTACAATTTAACAAATTTTACACAAACAAGTCAACAAATCATCCCCAAATCTCCAAATATGAACATTCTGGTGAATATCAACTATTATATTGTACTATTCAAAACATTTTGTCTCCTTGTCCAAAAATATATTCAATAGGTGACCGTTATAATTATTCTTTATATATATAATTTGCATGGAAATATGATTTTTTGTTTGGAAGTTTGGTACTTTGTTGATAATGAGAGAAACTTTGTTATCGAGGGATTTTAGTTGTAAATGTAAGTTATGTGGAGAAATTTTTCAAAAAGTGTACCACTTTTCTTTATTTATTTTTTTAGTTTTTAATTTTCGAAACTAAAAATCATAATTTCTAAAACCTATTTTAGATTTTTAGTTTTTAAAACTCAAAATAGAGAATATTTTCAAAAATAATTTTATAAAATTAAGCTACATAACAAATGAAATCCATTTGGATAAAGAGGCACAAGGAAAGAGTGATGGGTTTGAACAAAGACGTGAAACAAATAATCTCATTTGGATTAAGGGAGGTGATACAAGAAGGATGAACTGCAATTAGACAAGAACAAAACAGGTTGCATCTCTTAATTGTTGTTTATTTACATATTTAATCTTGTTAAGAGTCTCATATCAGACAATATATGGTCTGAATATGAATTTATAAGTGGGAGTAATTCTCACCTTATAAGCTGGTTTTGTAGGGTTGAGTTAGGCCTAACTCACACATTTTAAGATGGTATCAGAGCCTCATCTAAGATCCATTAGACCACCCACCATTTAGTTCCACTCTCCAGCCCTAATGTCTGAGCGTGAGAGGGTGTGTTAAGAGACCCACATTGTTTCCACTTTAGGGTCTAAGTATTTTGTTACCTTCATTGATGATTATTCTCGATGTACCTGGTTATTTTTAATGGAAAATCAATCGGAGTTATTTGCTATTTTTCAAATATTTTATAATGAAATCAAAAATCAGTTTGGTATATCCATTAATACTTTGCACAGTGACAATGCTCGAGAATATTTATCTACTTAATTTCAAACTTTCATGGCTACTAACGGCATGCTTCATCAAACGTCTTGTGCTCACACACCATAACAAAACGGAGTCGCTGAACGTAAAAATAGACACCTAGTTGAAACCACTAGGACACTCTTACTTCACAATAATGTTCCTCAACATTTTTGGGGTGATGTTGTCCTTACGGCTTGTTATCTCATAAATAGGATGTCATCATCTGTGCTCAACAATCAGATCCCTCACTCTATTCTATTTCCTCACTAGTCTCTTCACCCATTACAGCCTAGAGTCTTTGGGTCTACATGTTTTGTCCATAATGCTAGTCCTGGACTAGACAAACTCTTTGTTTGTTCTCATAAGTGTGTGTTCTTAGACTATACAAGATCCCAAAAGGGATATAAATGTTACTCCTCGTCTCTTCGTCGATAATTTATCTCTGCTGATGTCACATTCTTTGAGGCAATCCCTTACTTTGGGACGTCTACAGGGTCTGAGTCCCTATCACCCATGTTTTTTTCATCTCCCACTACTGCCCCACCAAACATAGTTTTGTCTCCTTTGCCATCCAATCCACCCCCATTAGCTCCTTTGCAGGTTTATCGACATCGACCACGGTCACCTCCACTACCATCAACTAATGCAGAAATCACCATAGACTCCCCTCCGGATTTAACTCCTTCATCCCCTCCAGTCCTGCCTCCTGAGACTGATCTCTCAATTTCACTTCGCAAAGGTATACGTTCCACTCGTAATCCATCTCCTCATTATGTTAATTTGTCTTATCATCGCTTGTCTTCTTTGCATTATGCTTGTATTTCCTCTTTGTCTTCTGTGTCTATTCCCAAGACTGTAGGTGATGCTTTATCTCACCCTGGCTGGAAACAAGCTATGCTTGATGAGATGTGCGCTCTTCAGAACAGTGGCACGTGGGACCTTGTTCCTCTTCCTCTTGAGAAATCTGTCGTAGGTTGCAGGTGGATTTTCATAGTCAAAGTTGGGCCTGATGGACAAGTTGATCGTCTCAAGGCACGTTTAGTGGCCAAAGGTTATACATAGCTGTTTGGCCTAGATTATGGTGACACCTTCTCTCCCGTGGCTAAAATGGTCTCGGTTCGATTATTTCTCTCTATGGCAGCTATTAGCCACTGGCCCCTTTACCAGCTTGACATCAAGAACGTATTCCTCCATGGTGATTTGTGTGAGGAAGTTTATATGGAGAAACCTCTTGGGTTTGTTGCTCAGGGGGAGTCTTCTGGACTAGTTTGTCGTCTTCATAAGTCTTTGTATGGACTTAAGCAATCTCTTAGGGCTTGGTTTGAGAGATTTAACACTGTTATTCAAGAATTTGGTATGACGCGATGTGAAGCTGATCATTCAGTGTTTTATCGTCACTCAGTTGTTGGGTGTATTTACTTAATTGTGTATGTGGACGACATTGTCGTTACAGGTAATGATCATCATGGAATCACACAGGTAAAACAACACCTTTGTCATCATTTCCAGACAAAAGACCTCAGCAGACTTTGTTATTTCTTGGGCATAGAGATTGCCCAATCCAAACGGGGGATTGTGATTTCACAAAGGAAGTATGCTATGGATATTTTGGAGGAGACAAGAGTGTTAAATTACAAGCGATCTTGTAGGGTTGAGTTAGGCCCAACTCACACATTCTAAGATGGTATCAGAGCCTCATCTAAAATCCATTGGGCCACCCACCATTTAGTTCCACTCTCCAGCCCTAATGCCTGGGCGTGAGAAGGTGTGTTAAGAGTCCCACACATCAGACAATATATGGTCTGAACATGAGTTTATAAGTGGAAGTAATCACCACCTTACAAGCCGATTTTGTAGGGTTGAGTTAGGCCTAACTCACACATTTTAAGAAATCTAATTCTATTCTATTTTGTAGGCCCAACAACTCAGATTTTTAATGATTTTTGCCATGAAAAATTGAGTATTTGAATTTGGATATTTGGTGTTACCATATTTGGAGATGAATATTTGAATTGCTTTGAAGATTGGGATTTTGAATTGAATGGAAATTGAGTTTTTTTTTTTTAAGATTGGAACACTCTAAAGATAATGTTGGATTTTTTCTACCAAAAGATTTGGGATTTTGGATTAAGATCTTTGTTTTTTGATGAATTTTCGAGGGTTTGGGAATTTTTAAGTAAAAATAGACAACAGTGGTTGCATTATAAAAAGTTAAGAATCAAATAAAAGTAAAAATTAAAGGACCACATTACTTGATATTAAGTTGTTAAGAAACCACAGAAGCAGTTCAATCTTTAAAAAAAAAGGAGGGGGGAACTCCAGTAAGAGCTTATACTAGCATTCTCAGAACATTCTTAGAAAAGATTAAATAAGAACATGGTATGAAGAATACAAATAAAAAGCAATTAATTAATGAGCAGTTTTCTCATTTCCTCAGCTTGAAAACTCTATTAATCACCTGCAACTCTGCATTTGTGGTGGTTGAACCACAAAAGGCCGTCCAATCATTTACTGTCATGCCAGGAAATAAAGTTACGCTGCCATCATTGACAGTCCCAGCTTCAAAAGGAACTTCAAGATTTTCAGAAAGTTCATCCAAGACTTCTTTGGAAGCATGAGGGTGGATCAAAGCACCTATGTTGGACAGGGCACAGTATGTTCCAGAAAAATAACTATAAGGATCCTTCGGCTTGAAAACTTCTACCTTAAGGACATCATTGAGCAACTCCTCGACTTCCTGAACAATATATGGTCGTAAATACTAACTAGGTCAGACTAAGAATCATTTAAAAAATCAAGAAGATAAATGATATTCTATTTTATCCATTTTAATATTTTGGATAAAAAGAAATATGTTAATCATGACTTTCATAGCTTTGTCAATATGTGTGCTATCATCATACAAAATAATGAACAAACAAAAGTAATAATACCCTTCACAAACTCTGAACTATCATTTACGAAATATTAAGTTAAAAATTATTTGTTCAATTGATTAGTTACCCTTCTACATAACCTTCAATTTTTCTCATCATTTTAATTCGATGTCACAAGTCATCATGTGTCCTTTGATGCTTCCCTTCTCTTCCTTGCGTAAACCTACCAAGTCTTGGGTCCATTGGGTTCCACTTTGATTCGTTACCTCCATTTCAGGCTCATTAGATAAAAATGGATTCTTAACAATATGATAAAATTTATCCATTTCTATATTCATTATCCACGATTAATAAGAAAACAAGTTTCTATCAAAATTAATTTGTCTTAAACAAGAAAGAGATAGTGGCATGGAAAAGAAATCTATGATGTACAAATATGACAATACCTGGTGAAGTTCAGTGTGCGCAAGGGCAACATGGTCATTGCATGCTATAAATCTCGCATAACAAGTCAATCCTTCTGGGATGCGCTGCACAACAGTTGCATGAGGTAGACTTCTTCTTATATGCTGATATTCTTTAGATAATCATGGCAAAAATACCAAGTTGCGTTAAGTTGGGATAATATCACAAATGATGTGTAGTCATATGCCACAAAAAAGATGAAACAGTAAAGGAAAGCCAGCACTTTTGAGTAATATTTGTATTCTAATACAGACAAAAGAGCTGATCACACCTCAAACAAAACAAAAAAATGCAAGAAATAAAATGTTGAAAGACCTAGACTGCTTATAAATACTTGTATGCAGGCAAAAGTTACAGAATCTTTTGAATACTTGACAATTAGCAATGTTTTGAAAAACTGAATCGGCCAGTTCAACTAGTTGAACCAAGAGCAGCCCGGTTGTCCGGTCCAATGACAACCGGAGCATTGAAACCAGCCAAACATGAGTATTAGTGGGATCCGCTTATTAAATTATTAGGACCTATTTGTCACTTGTGCTTGTCTCTCTCTCTCATAAATGGAGCAAATCCGGACTCAGCTCGCTAACAATACTTTGGTACAATTAAGAATGGTACTTCATTTTTTACCAAATATGTGGTAATTGAGGGTGACTTAGTCAGTACTACATTTTAAGCGGTATGCTTTCAATAATGTTATCGATGGAGAATGTTGAACTACAGCATATATTTGGCAACACTATTTCAATATATTTTTAATTTTGAATCACTCTCACTCCCATTAAATAAAACATGGAAGATATTAGTGAGCTAAACAATAGGGTGAGTTGTTTCTAGGTGGAAGAATAAATATATTTTAGCCGAGAATGTCACACTACATTAGCATTCAACAGTAGTAAAAATAAAGTAAAGTATAGCATAATAGCTTAAATCACCTTCAGGTGTGATAGTATGTGGCAAGAGAAGCCCATGCTTGTTTCCTGCAAACCAATAGAAGAAGGTGTCATGAGCATTAGGAAAATTCCACAACTTGAACATACTGATTATAAGAGAAAAGGTTTACCGATACAATAACGACCAACATGTCTAGAGCCAGCAATGGAGGTTTTAATGACAGGGATAATATCTTCAAATTCGGCAACAACTTGACTGTAGCAACAACACATACATTTATTCATAGTAGAAGTAGTGTGGAATGTAAAAATTGATTAAGAAATATATTATAGTAGAACACCAAACCTGTAGAAGTCATCAGAACCTTCCGCGACCAAACAGTAAGTATTGGTAAGTTTACATTACATTCCAACATGATCAACGTCGTTAAACATAAGCTTATTTGCCATGACTGAGATGAAAGAAATCTCTGACACTAGTAATCAACTTAATATCGGCAGTAGTAGATATCTAATAGGAAGGAAAAGAAAACAAAAGGAATCATGATTATAACTTTACACTAAAATTTCCAAACACCTATAACTCTGAAGGGTGTGTTTGCATTTAAAATTCTAAAAAAAAAAAAATTCAAATGGAAACAGTTATATTAACGAAAATCATGCGATAGTTGTGTGTTTAGAGCAACCTATAAGAAACAAACATAATGCATAATATGTAACAGAGGGCGTTGAGATTTAGAGGAATTATAATTTGGATGGATAGCGACTAAGGGAAAGAGAGATACCTTCTCCCTCGCCGCTGCTATGCGGTGCTACCAATTTGGTTTCGTAGCGATAGTGTATATGTGTTAAATTCCTTTTTGCCCCCAAATCCCTAATTCCAACGCATGTATTTAAATATAATGAAAACAAATCTCTAAATAAAATAGAAACAAATACACACAGAAAAATAAAAAACGCATTCCATTTACTAAAAAAAAATTAAAATTCACTCATTAATTTTAAATTATTTTAAATTATTTTTTAAGAAACATATATTTATCTTAATTGCATTAATAACATATATTTTCATGTTTGAATACATATATTATTTTAAATATATTAATTTTTATTTTATTTAATTATATAAAAATTATAATAACTCGTGAGTTCGTACGAATTTTGATCTAATTACATGTACGTTTGTATAAGTATTGGTGTGGTATATTAGACACATTCATTTTTAAAATATAATAAAATAAAAGAAAGACAAACATAATTACTCAAAAAAGTTTTAAAAGAATAAATTATTTGAAATCATGTAGAATCAACATCATCAAATTATTAAATATTTATAATAACATAATTTACAAAAAAATAAAATAAACTTAATTTTATCTAATCATACAAATCAATACTCTTTAAATGTAAACCTCATATTAAATTAAAAAAGATCAAGGTACACGCATTTGTACAAAATATAATTAAAATAAAATATTTTTTAAAAAAAATCGGTCCCTATAAAATTTTCAATATATAAAAATATTTTAATGAATAATATATATTTTTATATAAATATTATTTTTGTTTTGAATTGTTGTAAAAAATATTTAAACCAATAGTAAAATTGTTATATTAATATTTAATATTTTGATTATTAATTTCATGTTTCCGTTAGTATTCAATAATTTGATCAGTAACTTCATTTTTCCGTTAAAGTTTAATATTTTGATCAGTAACTGCATGTTTCCGTTAAAGTTTAATATTTTGATCAGTAACTGCATGTTTCCGTTATCATAAAACTCTAGTTTGTATTCTCTTTTTCCTAACGAATCATTCCCGTTGATAATGAAACATAGGTCGGCCACTTTGATTGTTGATCGTGAATAACAGTCGAATTGTTGTGAGCTAAAGACACAAGTTCACGAGGCATCTGTCATGTAGCAAATTTTTCTTCACGCAACGCGTCATACTTTTGACATCCGATTGCACATATTGCACATATTGCACAATACTAATTTCACACTATAATAAAATTGATTAACCAAAATAGTTTATATATTTTTAAAAGAATGTCATATTTTTATTTATATTTGAATTATAAATAGAAGTTTTTTATATATATAAATAATTGGATGAATCGTATCTTTTCCCGTATGTAAATAATATTTTTTGATATATAAATAATATTAAAATTATAAAAATATTTGAATCAATAAAAAACGTATTCCATTTACTAAAAAAAATTTAAATTCACTCATTAATTTTAAAATATTTTAAATTATTTTTTAAGAAACATATATTTGTCTTAATTACATTAATAACATATATTTCCGTGTTTGAATATATACATTATTTTAAATATATTAACTTTTATTTTATTTAATTGTATAAAAATTATAATAACTCGTGAGTTTGTACGAATTTTGATCTATATACATGTGTCTTTGTATAAGTATTGGTGTGGTGTATTAGACACATTTATTTTTAAAATATAATAAATAAAAGAAAGACAAACGTGATTACCCAAAAAAGTTATTTGATTTTAAAAGAATAAATTATTTGAAATCACGTAGAATCAACATCATCAAATTATTAAATATTTATAATAAAATAATTTACAAAAAAATGGAATAAACTTAATTTTATCTAATCGTACAAATCAATACTCTTTAAATATAAACCTCATATTAAATTAAAAATAAACTAAAAAATATAAGATTAACATACAATTAGAAACTTTAAGATTTAAGATTTACATACATTAAATTTCAAAAACAAACTTTAAAATTATATTTATGTATTATAATGTCTCTTTCAAGAAATATTATTAAAACACCATCGTCATCCATAATTGAATATTATTACATACAATCAGACTCAAATTGATAATAAAATATTCAGTGTGTCTATATTTTGAAGAAACTTTCAGAGAGAATAAGAGCGAAAGTTATTGTATATAGTATATAGAAAAAACACACTTAATTCTACCGTTTAGTGTTATTATATTATAGATTTAAATTAAAATAATTATTTAATATAATTGATTAAATTTATTTCAATTTTTTTATTATTTTCATTTGTATTAAATCGTAAGATTAAACTAAAAATAACATTTATATTTATCATATTTAATTATACAATTATTGTTTTAATTGTATCACTTTTATTCAATAATATAAATTATAATTTACTTTATATATATATATATATATATATATATATATATATATATATATATATATATATATATATATATATATATATATATATATATATATATATATATATATATATATATATATATATATATATATATATACCGTTTTTTGTTGTTGTATCTATTATAAACCGGTTTCGTAGTTTTTTAAATATTAAAATTAGTTTAATTTTTGATTTGTTTTATCACTTTTATAAATTGAGAAATATTAGAAGAAAAATATATTTTTGTATATCATTATTTTTTATTTTGAATCATTTATGCTATCCATTTCAATATGCATAAGCATCCAATTAAATTGTTGTTTCAACACATAATATGATAAGTAGTGTATATCAACTCTATCTAATTTTTCTTTTTAAAAAAACCATAATGTATCGATAAAATTAAAGCATAAGCTAGTAATGATATCAGTACACAAATATTTACTATAATGGAATACGTGATGCATCATTGTTTCTTCAACAACATACTACTATAAAAGATTAATCTAACTGGCATAGTGAAAATATGGACCTGTTTTCTCCTTCATCTTCGTATTTCCTTTAGCTGATATAGCCTCATATTCAATGAAGTTTTCCAATAAAGAGCAGAATCAATCGATTTCCTGTTTCTGCAGTACTCAAATGCTACCGTGGGTTGATTCACTGATTATGTTTACCCTTTTAGCTCCTTCCAGAATTAATTCATGATTCACGTCCAAAAAGTGGATATCTAATCAATCTAGAACCAAGTGATTTGCATATGATTTTCCATCCTCTATAATTTTACATTAATAACACTGTTGTCTGAAAGAGCGCGTAACACCCCAATTCTACCCCGGCAATTATATAAATAAATCAGAGTGATAGAAGTCATTCATGCAAACCAATCGGGATGCCACAAATTCTTCTATCAAAATTCATTGCATTCATCATGGATATATAACACTTTTAAAACACCGGATGAACCATCATCATAACATCTTTAATTCAATAATTCAACATCTACGCAGTGGAATTCTTAATAACACTTTTATCATCATTACAGCACTTCGAAACAACACAATTTAATAGTAATCAACTCAAAGTTCAACAACTGAATAATCAACAATCAAAAGCAACAAGCGTTCATCTCCCGAGTGTTACATATCAGAGCAATGACACTGACTCGAACTATTGAAGGTATACAGCTTTCACTCTCGACTACCTGCACGTTACCAATATAAGGGCAACATTCAAACAGAAGGAGTGAGATATCTAACAATATAATAAAATGTATGATAATTAATATATTAAATTAGATCACATAGCATCACCACTTCTCATCTCAAAATCAGCAATAGTTGCAAAAATAAAACACGTTCACAACATCAATACACACTTCTTTATGCAGTCATATAATGCGACTCAATACTGTTATACCCCAAAATTTGCCCTCCCATATTCTTCAAGAAATTGCCAAGTCAAGTCACAAAATTCCCCAAGGGTTGTACAGTGCAACAGTCTCCCATACAGTCAAAATTAGGGTTTTGAGTCCGGTCAAGAAAAGGAAGTTTTCAAAGGCTCAATCAAGTCTCATATGCTTACAAACATGGTCAAGCATCCCCATATCAAGTTTCAAGGCATTCAGCTCAAAATTGCACAGTCAAAACCCTAAATTGCCCTACAGTCAACTGTAGGGGCAAAATGGTCATTTGGCAGTCAAAAGTTCAAATTTTTGGTCAACACATCATTTTGAAGCCACAAACATCATTTGATCAATGCTTGATCATGATTCTCAAAATTTGGCTCAGAAATCATCAAAGATGCAAAAGTTGCTATATTTGGACAGCTGAAAAAGTCAACTGAAATTGACCAGGGCATAACTTTCACATGGATTATCAGAAAAATTCCATCCAAAGCTCATTTTGAGGAGAAAGACATTTCCTACAACTCATCTTCATACTTCAAGTCCAAGAAATACTCTCACAAAAAGTTATCAATTTCAACATTACAGGTCATTTTCAAAAGTCAACAAAAAGGGACTTTAAGTCAAAGGCCATAATTTGAGATTGGTAAATCAAAATGACATGGGACCAAAGGCATTGGCTAAAGGACTCAAAGACCTTTCCAAAATGTCCAAGAACATGTGAAAAGCTTAAAAATTGAGCAAGTTATGCCTTGTAGAAATTGGGAAATTTTTGTGAAATGGCAAAAGTCAACTATCCTTGAAAATCCAATTTTTGACAAAAGGGCCCCATTTTTTCCACTTGGTTCATCCTTGTCATGCCACACACGTGTCCCATGGTTAATTTCAAGACCAAATATTGATTTTTTTATTTTATTTAATTTTTGATGATTTAATTCATTTTAATTCTTTGAAAATTCAAATAAAATTAAAAAAACAATGAAATAGTGTCATGTGAACTTGGACAATTTCTATGTATCATGAACCAACTCAAGAAATCAGGCTAGGGTTCATTTGCACACTAGGTCTAGGTTTTGGCTAAAAAGAAGGAAAAATGGTCAATGGTAAAAACCCTAAGACTAATTCCTTCACAAGCATGAATTAAGGCAAAAGAGCAAGCCAATTCCATTCCATGATCATCACTGAGTCAAACCCTAGGCCTAAGAGATCATAAGATGCGCCCAAACAAGCTTTGGCATTTTGAAATTTTTCCATAAAAGCTTAAAACTGAAATCAAAGTGGGAGGATTTTTAAAGGCTTGATTCATATACCAATAGCTTCCTGAGGCACTCCTGAACAAATCCCAACCCCTAACTTCAATCAAAACGCGAAGAAGCAGTCACGACAACTCAAACTGTACAGAACATTTTTTTAAATCGTGTTTTCAATTCTAAGCATGATCATTGCATTTTAATTACATATTTATGTTCCTTACAAAGTTTCCAAGCTAACACTTATATTCAATTTGATTTTTGCATCACGTATGGGATTTCACCATGACCAAAAGCTAGGGTTACAGTTTTCTTGAATTGGGGCTTTGGCACAAAGGAAAAATTAGGACTTAGGAGTACCATGGTTGGATTCAGTGTACCAAGACGAAGGAATTGACCTACTCGCGATGAATTTATATAAGCCATAGCGCTAGTCGCTATTTTCTGGTAGCTAGCCTAATGCTACGTTTCAAAAACCGTTGCCTTCTTTGTTTGTGTTTCAGGAAAATGGAAGGGATGATGGCGTGGCACAAGCGGATTGGAGGAATTTGAATTGCGCGCGTTTTGATGACTATGCATTGGTTTTGTTTTTTTATTATTTGTTTGCCATTATATGTTAAATGAAACACAAATGGCTCAGTGGCCAGGGACACGCGCATGTGGCCTTCAAGACCTGGGTTCAAGTCTCAGGTCTGGCAAAAATTCAATATTATTTTGCAACACATATTCTCATGCAGGCATAAGACAAGGATGCACCATACGTCTTCAAATGGGACCATACACGCGTCCACAATGATCAGATCAATGGCCAAGATTCCAGGTGTAGCATACATCAGGTCAACGCGTTGGTACAGGATCCAGAAAGTCAATGGACTTCAAGCAAATGGGCCAGGCTTTTCAAATCCACACCCCCCTGGTTTGCTTTATTATTTTTATTTTTTATTCTTTCTTCAATTTTTCCTTTTATTTCTTTTTGCTATTTATTTAATTAATTATTTTTAATAAAATGCAAAAAACATTCAAAAATCAGAAAAAGACCAAAAATAATAATTTTTATATTATAACTATTTTCTAAATAAATACATGTAAATATTTAGTTTTTAATTAGGCTTTCAAATTTAATTCTTTTAATAACTAAAATCCA